GGGGGGGGGGGGGGTCCCTGCTTGGTTACTTAATGGAGGGAACATGAAGACGTTATCACAAGAGTGCTGAGTTGTGGGCAAAAGTCGTACCACGGGCGGGATTCGATGAACTGGATGAACTCATCACGTTGAACGTGATGAGCTCGAAGGCAATGGCACAAATAGCCATTGAGCTGAGAGGGTAAGAGTGGCCTCGGTAGCGTAATAGGGAACGCAACCGCACGGAAAGCAGAAGATGCGGGTTCGAATCCCGCCCGTGGTCCGACTTTTGCCCACAACTCAGCATTCTTGTGATAACTTTCGGATCGCGCACTGCGGCGTTAAACAGCAGTTATCAAACAATAACAGCTCGAAAAGGATGACGACTGGGGATTTTCGGATAAATGAGGGGGTAAGTGAGTAAGAAGAATGTAATCTCTTAGCAGATACCCTATTTTTTTCCTGTAAATCTAATCGATACTGGTGGCAATTACAATCCAATTTCTCGCAGTTGTTCCGGTTTCCGTCCGAAATGGGTGTAGCTAGATTTCTGGACAAGTTGCTTTGTTCATTGTCGTGCACTCACTTCCATGTAGGACTGTTTCAGCTTGCATATCTTTCTACAAAAGTGACGTCATTTCGTGAAAGTCAATATGGGGCACATTTACCAAGAATATGAACAAGTAAATTTTGATTAGTGAAATAGCAGTTTCATATTTTGCCGAAGCTAAGTTCTTGAGACTATTACAGTGTTTCTCTCCTGCATACTTCTGAGCATGCAGGAGGCACTTCAAGTGCAAGTGCTAATCGGATTGGCCACCTCAATGATTCTGAGAAAGATTAGCCTGAAGTACGTTGCTGACATTTCAAGTTTGTGTCTATTCGCCATTCTCGTTGAGATAGAAAACAACGAAAATGCCACACTAACTTTTTTCAAGCTGTAGCAAAGAAACCTTGTCTGGTCGCCCAGATACTCGCCGGTACAATAGAGTCTATGCGCCGAGCTACCTAAGTTCCTTAACTCCTTACGGTAAAAGTTTGTATCAGGTAGTTGATCTAGTGGTACAACTGTCATTTTGAAAAATGCAAAGTGACCGGTGAAGTTTGTGTCAAGTGGGTGTGTTTAGCCTCTGGCGCCAAGGTACGTTGGGACTTGTTGAATGTACACTGAGGAAGGAGACGGGCAAGGGAATCGTAATTTGTCGCTCCGCCGCGCGCGGCGATGGGCGCGGCGTTTTCTTAACTCGTGTTAACCTGTCGATTGGAGCACCGGACTTCATGTAGACCCCGTCATCGTAGACATTCATGTTCGGTTTGAATTGCCTGTTGTCGCCATCTACTGCCTGGAACCATCCATTTGCGGTCGCGACGTCGGACGCGACGTCTACCGCGCGGTGAATTACGACTCTCTTGTCTTATACTCCTACTGAGGATCCCTAGCGAAAGGTCGTAGCGCTGATCTAGAGTCCAATCGCTGGGGTGGGGTAGGGAGGGTCCGTATTACGGCTTCGCGGAAAAAGTGTTTCTTTTCTTCTGACTTTTCTCCTATCGGTTTGGTTTTTCCTGTTTTCGGTGCTATTTCACCCCCATCCCTTTTCTCCGACGGTAGTTTAAAAAACGAGATTCAGGACGATGGTAGGTAGATCGAAGATGGGGAAGGAACTTTATAGGAAGGTGGCTGTATTTTGTAAAGATTTCCCCCAACGGCAGGACGCGTTCTGTGGGGCATTACTGGGGGCAAGACTGTGAAAGTGGTACTATTTGAACTGACATGTATAAAATTTTTAATTGCAATCCGCAGCATTGACCAGTGACTCGCGACGGTGAGCACAGCACAACACAGCACTTTTATCGAAAAAAATGTAATTAGTACTTTATCTGATTGACAATAATCTTGGAGTGGTTTCTAAAATGTAAACTGGGGAAGTCTTGGATGTCGGAGATCGGTACGGGGAAGTTTTGCAGAATCGGAAGGCGAAGTTATTTCTGTGTAACTAAACAATTTACTTCTACGCAGTTATCTCTGGATCGTCTAGACGCACGCGACATTGAACGTAAGACGTCATAAAATAGACAAGCAAAAAGAGAGACAAAATAAAAAAAAGGAAAACGCTTTTTTTCCGCACGAAACTTTAGCGGTTTGAGACAATGGTGCGTCTCATGCCGTCAGAAAAGTACTTTACTGGGAAGAACCAGAAGAGTGCATGCTTGGTGTTAATGCACTGTGAGGCTGCGTTTATACTTTGCGGCAGCGTACGCCAGCGTACGTTAGTGTTTCCAGCGTTCGGCAGCGGCAATGGAAAGGGAAGGATGTGTATCGATCTAGCGACATGTCTAGATCTAGTGTTCTAGCGTACGCTAGCGTCATGCTAGAATACTCCAGCGTTACGGTGGCGCACATTCGGACTGCTACGTAAGGCCTCGCTCACTGTGAGAGGGTCCACCTTTTTTGAGGAGCTCCGCCCACTTTTTAAAATTGGTGGAAATCTGTAGTATAGAGTCTCGGCTGTCATGTTAGGGTAATGCTGATCATTCGGAACAAACTTTGCCTGATTTTCTTGTTCCGAGTGACGAACGAGACCCTAGCATGAAAGCCGAGACTCTATACTGCGATTGGCACCATTTTTGAAAAGTGGGCGGGGTTTCACGTAGCAGTCCGAAAATTTTTACAAACTATCAAAATTCTGCAAAAAGCAAGTGGGCCTGGTCAAGGGAGCGGAGCCTAGATTGCCAAACCGAATGGGCAGAGTCGGCCATGTGTCGACACATATATATACCTGAAACGCTAGACCGAAACTGTGCTTTTCTGCCTCCGCTTCGCTAGGTCGATATCCATCATTCCCTTGCCACTGCCGCTGCCGAACGCTGGAAACGCTAGCGTGGCGTAAGCGCCGAGCTCTAGCACGACAACTACTTATATATCGCTGACTCGTTAACGAGCCAACAAAATCTACGTTAAAGGCCTATTCCGCGATGACTGTAATGGTGGACTCACTTAAAATATTGCAAAATATTGCCTGCTTCCCATTGATACCATCCTCCTGTTCTCCATACTAGAATGAAGAACCCGTCAATGACACGACTGCACCTGGCAGATGACTCCGCCCTCGTGAACACAGTGAAATGCGTCTTTTAGTAGCAAGAGCGCAGGAATTGTATGCTAGAGAGTACTCGGTAAGCTCTCGCGTACTTTCAGCATTCCTGAGGCACATTTGAGTCACTTCTACTATAAGAATCTTTTGGATTATTTTTAGCGCAGTTATAATAAAACCAAATGAATTGATTGGTCCTTTCAGGGTATCCTGCGGCACTTGATCCTCTCCCCTGAAACGCCGTCACCGCCTCGATTCCCTCCACCAAACGCTGCGAACTCGGTAAGTCGGTTTTTATGAGGAAAATAATGGCGAAGAATGTTCTCGAAAAAAATCACATCGTTAGAAAAACGAATGGTCCAATAGAACTGTTGAAAATTGACGAACAGATCGGGAATCGTGCAAGTCTCCCGATAGATTAAACGTATAACTCATAAATGTTGAAACTTCCCCAAAATCAGCCCTAAAAAAGGTTATATGGCATTGCTGAAATGAAGAATTCGTAGAACCATCGAGAAGTCTCTTAAAGGCAGTTGGCACGATGGTTTCCTACTTTGCCCAAAATGCTAGTAGGGAGCTGTATAGTGGGGGAAATGGCGAAAGAACGGAGTGAAACGGTCAAAATCCGGCGAAGAAAAAGCCTCCGTTCTCAGTGACTTGTAAATCGATTTCGGACGAGTTTCCCCAATCACCGCTACCGAAGATACGGCTGCATATGTGTACCCATATATGCATGCAGCATCACGGCCGCTTCATACCAATCCCTTTGCTTCATAATTTGCTCAGCAAATGAATGAATACGAGCGTCAGAAACGGTCGTCCGTTTGTGGGCGGGCGGGCAAGGAAGGCGTTTGGGACGTAAAGTTGTTGCTCAATAGGGCGTTATAGAGGTACCCTCCTTGGAAAAGGCTTCACGCAGCGCCTGTCCGAGGTCACGGAATTCTGTTAAGCCAGTTGTACAAATCCTACACCTGTATAGCGATTTATCGTGCCAACTGCCTTTAAAGATTCTCCATTCATAGTGAAAATAGGCCTTAATGATCTCAGACAGCAAAGAAATCCCATTTTGGCGGGGTGTCCTGACCTGGAGACCTGCTACAGCTGCCGAACGGATCAACTCCTTCTGTGCGTAGCTGCACTGCTATATTCCCCATGACCGATAGTTTATCCATGAAATCTTGTTTTCTACGGACATTGGGGGAGTGTTTAGTGCAGTGCCAGCCTGTTCTCCACGAATTGTGGGAGCTATCAGGCAACTACGATTTATGTCGAAGAGGATAGCGCCGCGCCAAATCCAACGCCAAAATCCCGCAGAAATAAGACTGTATGATGTTTTCCTATCATAAATTTTTGCATAGATGCATACTTGAGACCTAATGACGCACCACAGATCCTGTTAGCAGTGACGCCATAAGAAAGCGGCTTTGATTTTCGAGTGCACAGTCCGCGATAGGCATAGTTTTTCACAGAGCCCATAATCCTGAGGTAATGATGCCACTTCCCTCTGTCGCCATTTTGTGAGCATAAAGTGGAACGGTAGTGATGACAGCTAAAGGACAAGTTCCCGATGATAAATGTCACCACATTAAACGCGTATTCTTGGATGTTAAATCAGAAATAATTGTGATTTTTTTATTGATGCTATCTAAGGGATTCATGTCATCACGTATCGCCTCATCGCCCCCGTTGGCCGTGCCACCATTTCATCCGGCTCTCTACACAGTGAACCGTAAATGGTCCCATAATGGCAAATTAACGATTCCGGATCTTGTACCGTCAGCATCATCTCGTACTGATGAACAGGTTCGTCTAGCGAGCTATTGAGGGACGCAGGCTTGAAAAGAATGAGTGAGAATAACTAGAAATTCTTATTTACAGGAAACTGATATCGATGGTGAAGAATGGGATAAAGTACGTGAAATGTTGGGACGTATCCTTGCCCCGCAAGTGGTTCGCGTCGGTCCGACCGAAGCCGACATTGCCTGGCAGCAACTGGATACCTCAGAGGTAATTATAAGCACGTTTCTCGTTCGCCATATGGGCGTAGTTCATTGCACCATTGCACCTCCCTCATTGGTGCGCCCCTCATCGTAGACGTATCAGAAGTAGAGACCTACGGAATAGCGTAGCGGCACAAGTGACCTCCCCCACACCACCAACGTGGACCATGTGGTTGATAAGTAGACTTATGCTCCTGTTACCAGCCCCTAGTTGAACTTCTAAGCAAATGCGGTGCGTGCAATTGGTTGGCTTGTGCTCCTGTTACCGGCTGAATTAGCTGAATCTCTAAGCATGTGCGATGAATGTACAGTCCTCATCATTGCGGACCGGTGGGGCGTGTCAGCCAGAAGGAGTGCGCACACTGTTGAAGCCGTTCTCAGCCTTTTTGTTGCAACGCGTATGCGACAAAAAGTGGTAGAAAACGAGTAATACGAAGGATATAATACAGTAATGCACTTGTTCGCTTCAAAAACTGGTGCAGAACGACTTTGCCAAACCGCACCAAATGCAGCCGCACTGCCACGCCCCACCGGTCCGCAATGATGAGGACTGTATGTAATTGGTTTTCGCGATGAAATGGCCAATCTTAGACACGCCCAGAGTTATCTTCCATCCCAACTATTCAGTGTCCATTTTGTAAAGCATCATGTGATATCTCGTATCTGAGTTCCAAGATTTGTGATCCAATGATATGACTCTACAGGCGGCCGCTCCCGGTGGTCCATTCCCCCAAATCGATGCCTCTGAATTCACCTATCAAATCGTGCTATTTGAGAATCATGGCAGATTCGTCAGTACGTACAGGTACATTATGCTAACTTTATTCGAAAACTACTAGGAAAGCAGGTACAGGCATAACCTTTCAGCTCTTTAGGGGTAAAGTATGACTGTTTTTGGCGACGCGACATTTCTGCCTTGCAAGGCTGCCATGCGCGGCTGCAGCCGTCTGTGCCCGCTCTCCTTCCCCTCCTCAAGGCCCACTTATGGAGAGGGAAGTCAGAAATCACCTCGCGCAAGAACACACAAGCGCCAAGAAAGTGGCTTCACCTGAGCCAGCCAAGCAGTCGAACATCATCTGAGCCGGGGGGAGGATATACTCTCAGAATAACCAGTTTTGGTGGGGGTCGAAGCGCAAACGCGACCTAAGTCGCGCGGCGCAGTCTCGCAGAGCAGGCATGCCGCACCAACGCGTGACCCCGTTTAAAGACAGTCCCCGCGCTCAAGTAGTACATGGTCGTCCTTCCTTGTGCAAGTAGTCAGCCCCCAAGCTAGAGACTATCCCACTCTCGCGACTCCACAGTGAGCGAGGAGCGAGCTACAGCCGCTCAAAGTTCTAGTTCTAACGCCCGCCCAGTTGGACCGCCCACTTGCTAGATGCCCTCTGACGGAGAGCCGCTCAGTTGTTCTTTGTTGGGACGGCGGGCATTAATCGGAATTGCATGTCCTTTTGCTGACCGCGCTCGTGCCCATAAATAATTCTGCTCTCCTTTATTACATTTTATTCATTGGGAGCACATACAGTCAACTGCAACCCATCTCGCAAGGTAAAACGCGTAAAAATCACGAGTGATGCAATTTCTGTGGTGCAAAAGCTCGACATGCACTAAAAGCTGCACACTGCACGTAACCCCAAATTCGGACGCCAAGTTTTTGAAATTTTCTTTTTTTTAAGTGTTTTTCGTTCGTGTTTTTGTTGTTTTTCGTATTCTTTTCTTTGCACTGGATGATATCCACTACTGGGAGATGCGATAAAGCGATTTGTGAGCCAGGGGTTGCACAGAGACCGCAGGGCGGTGTGACTGTCAGGGAGCGATTTTGTTTATGGTGTTCTTGAGGCTCTTGTTGCTTTTTTCCTTCATTGAGGAATTACTTATCAGCTACTGTTTCATAATTGATCAGCAACTATCCTTGACACTTTTATCGCGGGAGCTGTCTTTAACTAGCGAATGGATCCTACTATGATTAATAACTACTGGTTTGTTCAGATGCGAAACGGAAACCGGCAACAAGCTACGTCTGTGTCAGCTTCGTCCGAATACCGACTATTACGTGCAATTGAAGGCATGCCTCGAAGAACGCGGTTTGGTTGGCGAGCCAAGTCAACCCGTGTGCTTCAAAACTGCACCGGGTCGACCAGAAGCGCCACTGATGTTCCGGTAAGTCTATTTGTGAGACTTCCTCCGCTCACTTCAGCTATCTTCTAGATGGCAAGCCTTTACTATCAACTATAACGTCATCTGTAATTTCCATTTTATTCTGGATCCACTAATTTTTGGGCCGTCTGCAGTAGTCAGATCTGTGTGATGGTACGACCTCAGAGTTTGTTTACTCCTCAGATTGACCCAAAAGTTTGTTTACTTGCATGGCCCGCGAGCAAATCTGAGTGGTTTGGAGAGAGTCCTAGCGCAGCAGTGGATATCAAAGCTGTACCGAAAGTTGGCTCCAACTAAGGGATAAATAAGTAAGTAGATGAACACAAGTGAAATCAGAAATGTAAGATAATGAAAAAATCCTTCAAGAATTGTTGAACTGGGCTTCAGTAATGAGATTTGAATGAGTTGATCAGTTGCTATTTTATGAACTAAGCTGCATAAAAATGAAGGGCAACATATGAAGTGGTTTTCGAGGGTCGAACATGGCGTCCAGGTTCCGATATCTTCCATTACCACCCCAGCCATTAATCTGCCCTCTAAAATACGACCTTCTTCCTCTAATGGCGCCGTGAGAAACAGGTCAAAGAGGCGGTGGAAAGTGATGCCGTAGTACTCTCTGTAATCCACAGTATTCAGTCCTGTTCATTGAATCCTTCACAGGCTTCAAGAATGAGGTCGAAATGAGCCAAGTACGATCATTCATCCTCTGCGGCTCTATGTCAGTGCTGTGATTTCCTCTCTGCACGTTCGGCTACGATCCTTCGATACAGTAGAATCCCTTTTGGAAGCCCCTCAGGGATCTAATTGTACCCTATATGGAGTGCTTAGTCCGTTTTTTTATCAGAAGCGCACCACATCAAACGTGTCATCGTATAAGCACTAACCAATACTATGTTTCTTTGTATTCAGGTGTGTTTCGCGCGGAATCGATCATCTTGTTGTCGCATGGCGACCGCCTAATGACAATGGTGCTAGCATCACGACATATACTGTGTATATTAGCAAGGTTGGTTCACGTATTTCGCATTCATGGCTAATACTTTTGTGGGATAGGATGGGAGCGGTGTGTGTGATGCGCGCTTGTGATTGGTTACTTGGGTAAGCCGCCAATCATAGACGCACGTCTCGCATTCAATAGGTGACTTCTGTTCGTCTTTAATATCACCTATTACGTAGAAGCGTCACTCTTTCCGCTTCTCGCGGAACCGTAATTGTTTGAATAATCTGAATTTCGAATTTCGATTTTATTTTTAGCCGTCGGATGATGTAGGCGAGAAGGTATGGGAGGGAAGGTTGTGCGAAGCACGTATCACGAACTTGCGGCCTGCCACTTCGTACAGGTACATTTTCCTACTATTATAGCACTGTTTTTAAAAGACAGCTCTATTTTGATCTCTATAAGCAGTACTAATTAAGAGTGCGGGTTGAGTGCTTCTTCAGCAAGCTTGACTCACTCCGATGAGGATTAGACTCCCTTGTGGGGGATTATCGTACTCTCGTTCCGAGTTCCGAGGCGCTCAGAAGTAGTTCGTTGGGAATGAGTTTAAAATAGTTCCTCATATTAATCAAAACGGCAGATGCAGCCATCTTTGAAATCTGAAGTTGTGTTGGGGGTATTATATAGGACTTCCGCGATCGCCTTACCTTTCCGAGATTTTTGGGAATCTTTTCGTTTCTGTTAATGGTTCCAATATCCTTTTTGGGTTATTTGATATTACTCAACTTACTGTTCAAGGCTTCGAGTAACGGCAGCCAATCGTATTGGTGAAAGCTCTGAAGCGCCTCCGATCGTTGTCACGACGCGAAGTGACTGCCCTCCACCTGCTCCTCCTCCACCGAATGTGGTTTCTGTGAATACCCGTTGTGTGAAACTTGCTTGGAGTAATAATCCAGAATGTACTTACACGGTGCGAAACCTTTTGTCAATTTGACTTTAACAGCTTCGCAACTACTGGCTCATTTGTACTTACCATAAGCTTGCTAAGTTTGCTTTTACAGGTTGAGATGCACGATGTCGCCGCTGGACCCAACGCCATCAGTGTCGTAAAGGATCGCATTAGTGGTGCTAGCGCTCAAATCATGGACCTTAAAGCGTGCGTCTGATTTTCTTGGGATTTTTTTTATTGTCAGGCCTTGGTAACTAAAAAATGTGCTTCCTGCTGATATTTCGTGTCAGATAACAGTTAACATTGTATCAAGCGAAGACGCGGGAGACGGAGTTCACGCTTTCGCTGCCTGTGATTGGTGAACCCCAGCGGCCAGCTGCCTGTGATTGCTCGCCGCCAGAGTTCACCAATCACGGTTGTCCTTTAAGTTCCTCCAAAGTTCTACTATTTTCGACGAGTTACAACCCCATTTTTTTTTACTATTTTCAGTGGTAGCGAATATCGTTTCCGCGTAATCGCACACAATGCCGAAGGCGAATCACCTCGTTCTGATTGGACGTACGTACGTATGACAGGACGAGGCACTCCTGATCGGGTTCTTGAACCCACGAAACCGTTGGCTGTAGCTCGAGGCCGTAACAAGTTTGATGTCTCCTGGAAGTGCCCTGGTGCGAAGTAAGTGATTTTTGTAATCTTATTGTAATTTATGGTATTACTTGTTTATATTATTATCTCTCAACCTCATAAGTTTAAGGGACCGTGAGTTCACATATGTGCTGGAAGGCTCCACGGCGAATCAACCCAATCGTTTTCGCGTTTTGTATCGTGGACCACTTAGTACTCATACAGTAACCGATGAGGATATTGTTCATCTACGTGTCCAGAGTGTAAATAGGAAGAATGTTGCGGTAAGGGCCTTTTTTGAATTTTTCTCAGTACTGCATAGGTACCGCCGTAGGCGATTGGTCTTCAGAACATACCCGGCTCTTTTCCATATAAATAGGCTGGAGAGAGTTTGGGGCTAGAGGGAGGGGGGGAGAGGGAGTCAACTTTGAGTATGCGCGGCAAAACTAGATTGCCACTCTGTCCAAGACCTGGCCTTTCGCCTTTTGGGATAGGGATCATCCGCGAGAGGCAGAAGAGCAGAAAAATGTCGGGGCGCTCTATGGCCTATCCAAACCCAGCTCTGTGGTGCAAGTCGCGCCTGATTCAGAACGGACTCGATATTGCCTCCAGAGGGGCCAACCTGAGATGATACGTCAGTGCCAAAGGAGCCTGGAATTTATTTTTTAGGCAGCTTAAGGCATTGGTGAAACGCATAAAATTCATGGAAAATTAGAGTGCGCAAACAGCCTGCTTCTTCCGCGCCGAAGATCCTTATTTTCTACCAGTGGGCTCGCCGGCTAACGCCGGCGCGCCTCCTTGATACGGCCCGGCTGCGCCGGGCGAGCGCGGCTTCGCCGCGCGTATTTTCTTTCACATATTTCTAGACTCAACTGATATCCGCCTTTTGTTCTGTACTCCACTTTTTTCCGGTGTCTGAAGAAGTACTCTTGAGCTATTTTACAGATTCTTCGTCTGACTCCGCCCACCTCGGAGCAGGCCCCGCCCACAATGTTTGTGCCCCACAATCCTCACCGGCGACCCTCTGCTGACCTTAATCCACTTTTTTTTTTCCGGTGTGTGGTGTGTTCTGGAACCGTTTTAGAGAATTTTGTCCGGCTCAGCGCCCCCTCGGAGGAGATTCCGCCCACAATTTTTGTGGCCACAATTGGCTTCACCGGCGCGACCCTCTGCTTGAACTTAATTCCACCTTTTTTTTCTTCCGGTATCTGGAGTGTTCTGGAGCCGAGTTACAATCAAAATGAATACCCTGCGATTTAGGGCAAGCTCCGCCCCCTCGCCCACCTTGAGTACGCCCCGCCCATTTTGGATGTGTCTGCCACAGTCAGTCTGGCGACTCCTTACTAACCTTATTCCCTTTTTTCCCCCATCTTTAAGCTGCTCCGGAAGCGAATTATGAACATTTTTCTGCGGAACCCCAAACTTTCGGCGAGTGCCCCGCCCACTGTGGGCGGGGCTTCCCATAGGTCAAGTGTGCTTTTTATTTCTTGTCCCATGCCCTACCTATCCCCACCTTGACTGGACCTCTCCAAGTCGTTCTTCAGGTCGAACCGAATTTCCGGACAGACAAACTTACAAGCTATATATGGGGTGATAATCGCGGGCTACATTACAGGCTTCTAGGCGCTGAAGCAGATTGCATGCAGCCTAGCCCCTCTCAGAGCACAGCGCCACCGCTCTCAACCAAGGTATTTGTGACGTTCCTCAAGTTAAAATGCGCGCTGAGCATGAAGACAGAAAAAATGGTACGCCGGTACACAACTCAATGGTTATTTTTCTTTTAGAGTGATTTCTCTGAAGTCATCACGCTGGTTCGTGAGCCTGAGCTAATAATCACCAAACCTCCTCAGTTATCCTCACCGGCTATTGAAGGTTCTGGAAAAGGGGCTGTCCGCGTGTCATGGACTGCACCTAGAACAGTGGTGAGTCTGTTATTTTCTTATCAAGGATAGGGATCACGTATCCGCGTAACCCATAATGTGGTCAGCTTTACTGAGGACCAAGACTGCAAAGGGGCGCGCGTTCGCGGCGCAGCTTTGCATGCTGCTCACGCGTTCATGGATTACTTCGCCGCAACGCACTATAAAAGCCTAATCCTATTCCTTCTCTGAATGAACGATGAATTTCTCAAATATGATTCACTACAGATTCCTCCCGCGGCCACATTGATGTTCGAGTTGCGGCGTATCGACGATAAAAGCGAGATAGTTTACTCTGGATCGGAGCCAAATTGTCGACTGGAAGGCTTGTCGAGCCGCCAACACGTCGAGGTTCAGGTAGAACCTTATCTCAAGCCTCAGGTGAATCAATGAAAAGGGAGTTTTTTTCTGAATGTGCACCGTTTTAAGGTACGCGCTGTTGTCATAGCACAAGATGGTTCGCGCTACGAAGGTGACTGGAGTCCGGTCACTGGTGGAAACGCTCCTCGTGATGCGCCAAGCACACCTACAGAGTTGGCGATTAACAGCGAAAGGTTTGTCTTCAGCACTATCCAGCAATTCAAAGGAAGAAGGCACGATTGCTGGAGGCGGGCGGTTGCAGCCAACCTCAGTGGTGGAAGGGCTGAATGAGGTGTGGTCAAACGCCCTTTTTGAGCCATTCCACAACGCTGGCAACAACCGCCTTCCTTCGGCCATCGACCGCCGCCCTTCAATCTTCGTGAGAGGTTCTGTCGCGAGCATTATATTATGCTATCAGTAGATGCGAAGGCGTTCGTCCGATATAACGGGTCCCTCGAGGTAAGGTCCTTTGAATTGCTAAAACTACTTTTCACAAGAGTGCTGAGTTATGGGCAAAAGTCGTGCCCCAGGCGGGAGTCGAACCCGCACCTCACGCTTTCAACTTGTAAAGCCTTCGGCCTCGCGGTTCATTGCCGATATCTAACGATTACGGCTGAC